GGGAATAGGCCGGGTAAAGTGGCTCATTCCTGTAATCCCAGCACTTTGGGAGACAGAGGTGGGCGGATCACTTGAGCCCAGGAGTTCCAGACCAGCCTGGGCAACTTGGTGAAATTCCTTCTCTACAAAAAATACAAAAATTAGCCAGGCGTGGTGGCATGTGCCTGTAGTTCTAGCTACTCAGGAGGCTAGGGTGGGAGGATCGCTTGTGCCTGGGAGGTGGAGGCTGCAGTGAGCTGTGATTGTGCTACTGCACTCCAGACTGGAAGACACAGTGAGACTCTGTCTCAAAAACAGAAAAGAAAAAAAAAGGGGGGGAGGGTGGGGGAGGGAATCTTGGTGGAGACAGTATAAACAAATGGTTATAAATGAGGATTCTGGAGTCAAACAAAATAGGTTCATGCTTATCTGTCACTTACTAGCTAAGTAACTATGATCAAGTCCTTTAATTTCTCCAAATTTCACGTTCATCTGTGAAAAGAGGTAATAATGATAACAGTATCAAAGAGTATGTGGTAAAGTTCTCAAAAAAGGCTAACTGCCATTATTATTACCCAAATGTGAACATCTGACTGTGAAGTCCAACTAAATTGATTTATCCTTCATTCAACTGGCATGCCGGGGCACCTGCCACAGGTACCTTATGCAGAAGGCATAGGTTATTTGTGCGGCATTGAACATCTGACTTCTGAAGCCAGGATGCCACGGATAAGTGATCGATGATGACTTAGAGAGGTAGGAGACAGTGGCTTTTGCCTTCATCACCCTTTTGGGGTCATCCATCACTGCAAGGATTCCAAGAAGGATGCATTTCACTTCAGATCACATTCATTACACGACAAGCTCTGTCGGACACTGTACTTCTAGAAACAAAGGAAATGGATGCCCAACAACTCCTGGCCCCGTATCACATGCTGTTGCATAGCTGATGTTGGAGGAGGTGAGATGGAAGGAGATGTTAACAAGAAACGAAGCAAGACAGACAGGGAGAGTGAGAGAACTTCTCTCCGCCTGGCTGATGAACAGAACAAATTTGTAAGACAAATACTCTCCAAATTAATTACGTTTTCCTGATAAAGCGGAAGCAAATGCCACAGTAGAGGTATTTCTGCATGACTTTCCCTGGCTGTGAACTTGGAAGTAGTTCTAGTTCAGGCTCGCATTTCCTCCAGCATTCTACCAGACCATTAGCCACTGTCACTCCCCATTAGTCACGCCTGGTGTCTTTCAATTGTCCTGTGTTTCCTTTCAAACATGTCAACAGAGCAGCAGACACTGAGAACAGACTAAAACTCATGAGTCTCAATTTACAGTTCTAGAATTCTTAGTTTATTAATTCCCTCTGACATGGCCCAGATGTCTTCGGAGCAATTAGTAACAGAACAGGGTTAATGTAGCTACCTCACGGTGCTGCAGATTCATTATGACTGATTGCTCACTTATAAAAATTAAGCAAGTCTAATTGAGTTTAAGCCCAAAAGGATAGCACTAGATTTGCAGTCCACAAATTTCTCTACCTGTCTTGCTTTATCATGTTTAAGAGGTTACCAGGTACTACAGAGTAAGGATATTAGCTTTTTGTGTATTTTTATTCATTTGATCCAAGCTGTATAGAGGTGAAGTATATAGATAATAGAGTCTACTCTCTCAGGAAAGGACCAGGGAAGCCAGAGAGATGGGGCCAATTGAGATATCTTCGGTCTCTCACATGTAAAAAACCCTGTAGATACCAGGCTACCTGAGCTCCTGGGCTCATAGTTGAAACTCAAGTTTGCCTCCATTAATGAGATAACTAGATAAATGAGAGGTGTTGTTAGTTAAGAAATTCTGCTGACTCTTCTTTTTGCAATGTCGTATCTACTGGTCTGCTCTCTCTCTTCTCACTGATAATCAGTCAGATGCTTGTTAGCTCACATTTCAATGATTGGAGAAGCCACTACAATATTCTCCCTGGCTCAGATCAGTCCATTTAACTGATCTGACTTTGGAGTATGTGGCCCAGAGCTGGCCTCGGTGGTGGCTTCCCTGATAGGCCTTTAACCTTTCTGCTCATTCTACATGGTGATACAAGAAGATCTCTTAAAGGTTAGTTTTCATCAAATCACTCCTCTGCTCAAAAACCTCCAAAGTCTTTTCACTGCGTAGGGATTAAAATCTAAATCTTTTTATGCCTTTTTCTAGTGGGTCCCGTCTCTCAGTATACCTCAGAATGAAGCTTCCACCCCTGTTCAGCCAACTCTTCAACGACCCAAAATATTGCCACCTCTGAGGCTTTGTCTGGGGTCTTCTTTCCTGGAATACTCTTCCCTCACTTTCTATAAATGCCATTCATGCTTGAAAAGTCAGTTCAAGCTTCAGACTTCTCTTTATCAGACTGCATTGAACTGCAAGTGTTACTGCTAACAGTAGTTATGTTAGTACTCTCTATGTATATATATGCATTCATTAAACCAGGGGTCCCCAACCACCCAGGCCACGAACCTGTACTGGTCTGTGGCCTATTAGGAACCGGGCCGCACAGCAGGAGGTAAGGGGCTGGTGAGTGAGCGAAGCTTCATTTGTATTTACAGTCACTCCCCATTGCTCCCCATTACCTCCTGAGCTCCGCCCCCTGTCAAATCAGCAGCAGCATTAGATGAGCGCGAACCCTATTGTGAACTGCACATTCGAGGAATCCAGGTTGCCTGTTCCTTATGAAAATCTACAGGCCGGGCGCGGTGGCTCAAGCCTGTAATCCCAGCACTTTGGGAGGCCGAGGCGGGCGGATCACGAGGTCAGGAGATCGAGACCATCCTGGCTAACACGGTGAAACCCCGTCTCTACTAAGAAATACAAAAAACTAGCCGGGCGAGGTGGCGGGCACCTGTAGTCCCAGCTACTTGGGAGGCTGAGGCCAGAGAATGGCGTGAACCCGGGAGGCGGAGGTTGCAGTTAGTGGAGGTTGCAGTTAGCTGAGATTGCCCCACTGCCCTGCAGCCTGGGAAACAAAGGAAAACCCTGTCCAAAAAAAAAAAAAAAAAAAAAGAAAATCTACTGCCTGACGATCTGTCACTGTCTCCCACCACCCTTACATGGGACTGTCTAGTTGCAGGAAAACAAGCTCAGGGCTCCCACAGATTCTATATTATGGTGAGCTGCATAATGATTTAATTATATATTATAACGTAATAATAATAGAAATAAAGTGCACAATAAATGTAATGCACTTGAATCATCCCGAACTAATCTCTCCACTCCACCTCCGTTCGGTAGAAAAATGGTCTTCCACAAAACTGGTCCTTGGTGCCAAAAAGGTTGGGGACAGCTGCATTAAACTGTTATATATTCCTATCTACTTTGATACTTATTACAGCATTCCGCCTATTGTAGATATGCTGAATAAATATGTATTAATGTGGGGCTTATTTTGTACAATGTTTAATCTTTCTTAAGGGAAATTTGACATCAAAGCCTTAAAGGGTGCATAATCTTTGACTCAACAGTTCTTATTTTAGAAACAAATTAAAGAAAACTCAGAACAGCTTATGAAGACATATGCAGGCTGTTGCAGTTGTTTGCTGTTGTGGTTTAACGATAAGGAAGATGGAAAAGCCTTAAGGGGTCAGTCAAGTAAACCCTGATCCATCCAAGCAGCTAATAAAATCATGTCGTGGAGTACTTACTAACATGAAAATCACTTTACAACACATCATCAAGTGCAAAAAGCAGGTGACAAAACAATACGTACAGCAACATTCAATTTTTATTCAATAGACAGACAGATGGACAGTGGATATTCCCTAGAAGCAGACCTATGGGACCTTTTCTCCTTTGTAGTTTTCTGTGAATTTCAATTTTTGGACACCGGACTAAAGTGTTATTGATGTGTTAGACGGTTCCGTTAGATGGAAATTTGCTCTTTCAAGTCATACACATCGGACATGGATGGACATATACATTAATAGATTAGTTTGACATGAGCTTATGTCTAAGATGGACTCTTATAGAACTCAGTATCACGTGAAAGACAGCCTGCTATGGAAACAACATTAGCCAAACTCGGAGTTGAGAAACATAGCATCGATTGTGCCCCTATTACAGAATTCCTGTCAGCCCTGGAAGTCACTTATTTTTCTGGAACCTCAGTGTTTTTCCTATAAGATAGGTGAATATTTTTCCCTAATTCCGCCCCCATTACATGTTACCAAATGGTATAGTGATGACCTAGGTATTATTTGTCAAAATCCCGAACACTTTTTAAAAAGGCAGTCAGTCAGCATCAGGTGAAACTACTATCAAAGTTGGAGAAATGACCCTCTGAAATCTTTTAATCTCTGATTATACCACAGCCTTAAATCGCAAAGTGGTATCTAATTCATGTGCCAAAGTGCAGTGAAGTACAGTTTCACTGAGTGCTCAATTTAATACCTGCGGATACATTCATTAAGTAACACTTCAAAAACACTGCAAAGTATGCGTGCAATCATTTTAGGACAACATTGCTAAGCTTACTCTTCTTTTAAAAGTATTTACCACATAATTTGCAGATTGTCTTTTTTTTTTTCCCCTAAGAGAACAGAACTGACATGAATTTTAATAGGAGAAATACACTGGGCTTCAGGTCAATAACTTAAAGACAAAAAATTTAAAACCTTGACAAACTCATATGAAGAAGGCACTATTCTTCATCTTTGCAAAAATGTTGACATTGAATCGACTTCACCTAGATGAGCAAACAATCTTGAATCAGTCACTTAAATACAATGTACACATTTACAGATACACATGACTGAAAGCTCTTGGCATAGGGCTGGTAGGTGGATATCAAATGCTGCTTGACACAAAAACACAAACCCTGGTCATGACTGCAGATATCAAGACACACACAGAAACACCCAAACATCCCACAGGGCAACCTCCCCAGAGAGCTGCCTTCAGGCCTCAGTTAAAAGAACAAGAGAAAAAGAAAATCCCTTGAAGGGAAGGAGGGACTGCTTGCCCCAGAAGACGTCTGCACTCACCTGTTAAGTGGTTGGCAATCCTGGTAGTGGGTTTGGGAGGCAGGGCCGGGGGCTGCTTGAGAAGGGGCAGCTGCTTCACTGGGGTCTCTTCATGGTCTCCAGGGAAAGCAGCAGGTTTTTTGGGGGGCAGTAGCAGGACTGGTTTGGCTGAAGGATCTTGGGACAGGAGGACTCCAGATTCACTGGCAGAGGGACTCTCTTCAGACACTGAGGGGACAACCACATGATACACAGGAGACATTACACAAACGCAGTGCAGGTGGGGCCAGCGGAGAACACAGGACAGGGACTCGGGTTGGCAACACAGCAGAGCACTGATGCTTCAGGCCGCCACGCATGTGTAGAGAGCTACAGCAAGGACACCAGAAATCCAGGGAAGCAGGAGGGACAGATAGAGGAGGCAGAGGAAAAGAGATAGAGGAGGCAGAGGAAAAGAGATAGAGGAGGCAGAGGAAAGGAGAGGGTGGAGGCAGGAAGAGCAACAGGGAGAAAGAGGAGGAGGTTTTCTCAAACCATCAAACACTTCACCATTTCAAACTCAGCATTGGTCATACAAATCCTACACATGCTCTAAGATGCGACTCATGGAGCATAGTAGGAATCACCAGGGTGGCCAGTGCAGAAGGCCCAGGGTGCAGAGCCCCTCTAAACCAAACCAGAACCGAATGCCAGCACCCTCGCTGGGGCCTGCTTGCCCTTTGCTGAGGGGCAAGAGGGAGTGGGTTCAAACAAGTGGAGGGGCTCAGTTTTGTCCCCTGGGTCCGCTCTGTCTCTGCTCTCAGATCTGCAACACTGGGTACAGATGACAGCCTGGAATGCTGACACCACACAGGCTGCACCCCCAGGCGCTGGACGGCTGCTCCTCCACGTTCTGGAGTGCCCCGCGCTGAGCAGCAGCCTCTCAACCCAAATTCTGTAGTTTTAGCAACAGCATCCTGCCCCTGCCAGCTCCTGTAAACTTTGACGAGGCAGAACATGCTTTAAGTCCACCTTTTAATCTTCCACTTTCCTCTCTCTTCTTGCTCACCACAATGTTAGTTTTCTTTTGTCAATTCCTCCATTTCTCTTTGCACTGCATTGGACCCGTCTCTTCCTTTCCTTCATGGGGGAACCCCTGACTGGCTTTCATGAAGAGCTGTCATTCATGAAGGTGTCTTTCATGAAGGTGGCACACACCTTCCTACCATGCAGGTAGCTTGGCTGATGACAGAGTGAAGCTCTGTGATTTTGCTGGAATGACAGATGTTTACTATAACAATCAAATCCATCTGACTTCAATGTCCCAAGGATGCCTGGATTATTTTTTTAAATGCACAGCTTTCACTGGGAAACCCTCCCTGGGGTAGGAGGGTGTAACTCCGCTGCATCTCCTCTCACCTCCCGCCACAGCCTCAGTGAGAAAGCCTGTAAGGGACTCCCCCCCTCCCCAACCTCCTTCCTCCTCCCTGATCAGGTGTTCTATGCGGCACCAAAGCCCTGCACAAATTCCTCATGAGCACTATATTCTCCTGTCTCAGGGAAACTATTATTATCAATGCGGCACACAGTGATGGAGCAGTGACTCGCCAGGTCCCACGGCGAAGCATGGGAATTAACCCTGTGAAACCCCATCCCTCCCACCCTCCCACGTGACTGCCTGTGGATGTGGATTTTGCACATGATGAGGAGAAATGCCTTCTACCTATATGCTGGATATTGCAAGAGGTTCCTCCTCCCAGGCTCATCTCCTGACAACAAGTACCACTGCTCCCTGGCTGTCAGGAGGGACCTATTTTGGGGCAAATTAGGACCACTCTGCAAACCTTCTGAGAAAATGAGTATTGGCCACTCAAGCCACCTTTGGACCAAAGAAGGAGATGACAGTCAGATGGCATCAAAAATCAGCTATTGGCAGGATACAATTCAATCAGTAAATTATATACAATTTAATTGATAATTAAATTAATTGACTATATCCAGTAAATTGATACAAGTATTATCTGGCATACTGGGATGAAGACTAAAGGACCTTTCAAACAGAAGAATTACATATGTATCATATAGAAATGTAGGATTCCTCAGCTTTATCTTAACAGAAATGAGTGTTAAAAAACAAAATAATAATATTTTAAATCATTAATGTTACAAAAATAAGCCATATCTTCTTTAAAGAGATGAAGGTAATAAAGAGTTTTTTAAACACTGTAGAATAATAAGTGTAAATATATTCCATTTTAAAAAATACACAGTATGTACTAAAAGCTAATCTGTTTTACTAAATTTCCAGATCCTTATGCTCAGGATAGTCCAAAATAGAATTCCAAGTCCAGCCAGGCTAAAGATCCCTGGACTTGGTGTCCGGGACCTGCTCTACAATCCTGCCAGGGGCATTACCTGGCCCATCCATGATGTCTGACGGTTGGAGCACCTCATATGAGCAGGGATCCCGGGGCATTGGGACTGGCTCCATTTCGGACAGCGCAGGCAGAGACAGCTGGCTGGAGCTCAGGGACTGCCCATTTTCTAGGGAGTCCTCTTCATTGGATATGGAAAGTTCTCCATCTGTCAGAGAGAAAAGGAGATTGCAGAGTTAGACTAGGTCTGCCTTTCAAGAAGGAGTGACACTTACTGCCTGCTGAGTCTAGATGCTGCTGAACAATCTCTATCAAGGTCAGCCTCTAAAACCAACATCTGTTCTTTCGCTTTTAAGACATTTATTTGATCGTTAGAGATATGTTGTCTAATCATCAGGGCAACAATTTCCAATGGTCTTCAGCATTTTGCCTGTTTTCTTTCTGTCTTTCTAACCTGAATCCGTGAATCCATCACATTTTCTGTTTTTTTTTGTTTTGTTTTGTTTTTGTTTTTGTTTTTGTTTTTTTTGAGACAGAGTTTCACTCTTATTGCCCAGGCTGGAGTGCAATGGCATGATCTTGGCTCACTGCAACCTTTGCCTCCCAGGTTCAAACAATTCTCCTGCCTCAGCCTCCGGAGTAGCTGGGATTACAGGCACGCACCACCACACCCGGCTAATTTTGTATCTTTAGTAGAGACAGGGTTTCTCCATGTTGGTCAGGCTGATCTCAAACTCCCCACCTCAGGTGATCTGCCCCCCTGGGCCTCCCAAAGTGCTGGGATTACAGGCGTGAGCCACCGTGCCTGGCCATTTTCTATGTATTTTTAAAAATAAAAAGTAAATTAACAATTTTTTTTTTTCTCATAATTTCTAAAAACTTGGGAAAAAACTCAGCAGGCCTCAGGGATTGGAAGACCAGGATTGGGAATTCCCACTTGAGGGAGCAAAGGGCTTCACGTCACTCAACAGGCACCAAGGTCCTAGGAAAAACTCATCCCCTCTTCTGTTGGCCTCCACCCTCGTCCAATTTCTCTACTCGGGTAAAGGCTTAGGACAGCTCTCATCTGCACCTAACAGGCTGCGGCCACCCAGGGACGCTGGGAAGTGCCAGAATTCTCCCGGCATCGACCACCAATCATGCCGCGTAGCGTAAACTTTGATGTTGCTTAAAGCTCAGCAAAACAAGGACCACGGTGCAGGATCAAAGGCTCCCATACAATGGCCGTTTGTCAAATCAAAATTCCCCCCCGTGTGATTTCATCCTAGCCCAGGGGAGTCTTAGATAACTAGACATTAAAGTCAAATTAATTTTTAAAGAGGACTGAAAGCTGTTCCATCGAGATGAATAAACACCAGATGAAAGACTAAGTTCTGCCGAGTCAGAAACACAGAAAGCAGCAGAGCAATTACCTGACTTAAAACCAGAAGCAAGATGACGACTCGTAGAAAAGAAACAGTGAAGTGACTCCAAGGTGATTCTTGGGTAAATAATCCTTTCCTTTTGCTATGTTCCACCTCTAGTTTAATTTTATATATCAGTGATCTACAGTGGCACCGAATCCCTCCATGGTCCACCCCCCATTAGAGTCGGTCCAGTGAATATCTGTTTAACAGAGTAATCAACAAATCAAAAGGCCGGAAATAGCATATGATTCAAGGGCATATGGTGTTTGACCTGAATCTTCTATAAGCATAGAAAAAATATAATGAATGCCAAAAAAAAAAAAAAAAAACCATCTGAAGCTGACAGTGTAAAAGCACTAGCATTTGAAGAGTGTGTGTGTGTTTTTTTTTCTTTTTTAAATTCAGCTTTTTTCTATGCCCAAAATGGTAGTAAAAGTTATTATAATTGGGATCAATAATATGATGATTACTCATTAATAAGAAAGCAAAAGCAGTGCAGACTGTAAGCCCATGCAATGGAAACCACACAGATGAACTGGAAGTCTCTGGGATGGGAAGGGCTAAGCGTCAGTATGTTGCTATCCCACCATGGATGCTCCCCAGTCTTCTTAACGTGCCTTTATGTAGCATGTTCAAACAGATGCCGTGGGAAGTAGCTCTGTTTCAATTTCCCAGTTGGTGGAATAATGATGCAGCTGCCATTCAGCCTAACACATCTCTAGGAAACCACTTTGATTCTTGATGTTCCGAGTATAATAAAAGTCCTGGATGAGACAACCAGAGGGGACAGAGGTCTCAGGGCTCTTGCCAAGTTCTGCTTCTTTGGGAGAAGGATGCAATCGAATGATTGCCATACATTTTAATAGTTAAAAGTACCAGAGAAGCAACATTAGAAAAAAGAGATGCAACTGCAGTCGGATGACTGTAGACTCTCTCCATGAATCCTGGGCTTTGCCGGTAACAGAGAAGCAATATTGCTTGCTCCTCTTGGGACATATTAACTCTTGAAAAATTGGGCTCTCTATAGATTAAAAGTAATGTTGTCAAATCACAAAGGCCCAAACCACTTTGGAGAGGAAATAATCTTGGGAATTCCATTGTTATAATTGCTAAATATACATTTCCTTTGAAAAAGTAAAAACAGGAGAAGAAGGTGTAAGACGCTGATCATATCACCACCCTACCTAACAGAAACAGTTTCCTCTTTTTGCACATATTTTTCAAGATTGTAATCCTACTGTGAGCCAAATTTTGTGTCTTTCTTCCCCCATACTATTATAAACAGAACGATCATCTTAATGATTCTACTGGATGATTATGTATCGATATTTACTTGGCTAGCTCCCATTTGGTTGGTCACAAAGGGATAGATTTATGCTATTATGAAAAAAAAATGCAATGAGGACCATCATCCTACATGCAATTTTTCTGCAATTAGAATTCTCCCCCATTAGGATAACTTCCAGTAAATGAAATTTTCATGTATTACTATTCCAATGTCGAGTGACACATACATGAATCTTGTGAAATTGTTTTATTAAAGGATTTTCCAATTTACACAATTAGAAGAAATGTACAGACCATACACATTGTTTTGCTTTTGGCAATTTCTTCAACATTAATATTGACAACCATGTTCTGTCTGTCTCTATCTATCTATCTATCTATCTATCTATCTATCTATCTATCTATCTATCTATCTATCTATACCTATCTACCTACCTATCAATCAACCACCCATCCATCCATATATGTATATATGTAGCTAGTAGAAATAAATGAAAATCATTCAATAAGTACAAATTCATTATTAATATCATTTATGACCAAGGTGGGTAGCAACAAAAGTAAAAACTATTTGACTTGGATTTATTTAAGGATGGAATAATACTGCCACTTTTAAGTAATATTTTAAATTTTTTATTATGACATTTTCAAACACACACACACACACACGAAACATTAATGTAATGGACTGTATATACCCATCATTAAGCTAAGGAATGATCTGGGAATTCCTAATGCTTGGTAATTCCAAGTGTTATGAATTTGAAGACTAGTCTCTCCATGTCCTGCTAGTATTTATCAGTACTGGGTTTTTTGTTGTTGTTATTGTTGTTGCTGTTTGTTTGAGACAGGGTCTCACTCTGTTGCCCAGGCTGGAGTGCAGTGGCATGAACATGGCTCACTGCAGCTTCCATCTCCCAGGCTCCAGTGATACTCTCACCTCAGCCCCAAGAATAGCTGGGACCACAGGCCCACACCACCGTGCCCCACTAATTTTTATATTTTTTGTAGAGACAGGGTTTCGCCATGTTGCCCAGCCTGGTCTGGAACTCCTGGACTCAAGCGATCCACCCACCTCGGCCTCCCAAAGTGCTGGGATTACAGGTGTGAGCCACTGCGTCCAGCCTACCGATAATGTTTATTAGCATCTTTACCAGCATTTAAAAATTCATATTATTAAAAAAAACCTCCCCAGGAAGAATGCAACTTGCCCGACTAAGGTGAGGCTTAAGCATTTTTTGTATCCCCATCTAGCTAGGTCATCACCATCTTGTTAGTGTGGATGAGACAGTGTTCACTGAGTGTTGGAAATTATGCTGATGTTTTACATAACCTTCTAAAGTTATCTGTGATAATGGCTTTGAAAAATGGTACGCAATAACCTCCAATCATGAACTGCTTCCTACTAGAATTAGTAAAATGCACACAGCAGGAAGAAAGAAGGCAGGACAAGACATGGGTTAAGGCAGTGGTTCTCAAACTGTAGCTGGCATAGCAACCCGCTGGAAGCTATTAAAACACAGATTGCTGGGCTCCACCCCCAGAGTTTCTGACCTAGTAGTTTCTGGGTGAGACTCAAGAATGTGCACATCTAACAAGTCCTTGGGTGATGTTAGTGCTCCTTTTGTTGGTCAGGGTTCCACACTTTGAGAAAACACTGAATTAAGGATAAAGAGTCAAGGAGCCAAGAGAAACTGCAATGTAATTGTGCCTCATCCTGATGAGGTTTAGGACAGGAAATGCTGGCTGTGTGGCTAACATGGGACAGAGTGTATGAGGAAGCAGGAGGTTGCATTGTCTAACCGTGGATCATGAATATGAATTTGGCACAAAGGACAATGGGGCTGGAGAGAGCAGAAGTGGAAAAGAAAAATGTGTTTCAGAGGCAGACATGTCTAACAAGGTAGAAGCAGGTTACAGAAGCAGCAGAGAATAGTATGCAGACGTCAGTGTAGGTCAATGTCATAAATTTTAAATCATGAGACATAGAAAGCAATGGATCTAAGATACAGAACTGGCCACCAAGATTGTGCCAGCCTTACTCTCCTTTTCTGGTGAAGCATAAGAAACAAAGATGTTAGGAGAGTCAAAGTTAACACCAAATCAGAGAGAGTGAACAAAATCTTTCAATAGACAAACATCTGTTGATGACAACGTGCATCATGTATCAGAAACCTCCAACCCCCCACAACGACCTCACGGAGAAGCCAGAGGTTTGCTGTTAGCTCATTATGATACTCATAGAAACTCATAGAAACAACTGCCCAGTAGGCTGCTGCCAGGGCCCTGGAGCTTACCCACACCCCAGCCTGCCTCTCCTCCCATAAGTGAGGCGTGAGTCAAACACCTCAAATGGATCTTGTCCAAATGGCTTAAAAGAACGGTTTGTTGCTACGTTATTGTTCTTTGTTTTGCTTTAGGGACACTCCCTGGTTTGGGGGTGATCAATATCAACTTCTGCTCAATTACATTTTCTCAAAGCTCATGGTTAACTGAAGTTGTTTTTTATAGATGA